TACTCTAAAAAAAAAAAAAAAATTGAAAAGAAATTTCTCCAATATAAAATACTTACGAACCGATAATTTTTTTTTTCGTGACATTATTACTAGAACGAAATATTGAAAACAAAGGCCACAATTAAACTAATTACTTCTCACGTAAGAAAGGAAAAATACAGTGTCTGTCTTTACTTGGTAAGAAAGTAACTGTTATGCTCTTATATATTCAAAAGACTTATAAAACTAAGGAGCTTTAGGGTCTTGAGACGGTTGAATTGCCCAAGTACAAGGCTCAACCTCTCTAGAGATCGACACGGGACAGTACCCAACCAGAGTTGCCTTAGCTTAGGAAGAAGCGGCCGAACCAAACGACAGGACATCCACCCATTTGCGCGGTTTAGCTTCTGCCTCACCCACTGCTTTTTCATTCTTTTTTGGGCCTTTGGAAGCATCTTCTTTTCCATTCTTTTCTGCTCCTTTGTTGAACCAAGATAGAATCCCCATGATTATGATTAACTGATGAACTATGGGAGGAATTTTAGGTTTTCTGAATTTATAGAAAAGCAAGAGAGAAAACGGAATTAGGGTTTTTGATTATATAGCATACAATCAAATCTCAAAGGGAAAGTAGATTTATTTGGAAAATTACCATAAAAAGTATAAAACCACTTCCAGTTAAGATCTTTTAGAATAAAAATTAATGAATTAAAGGAAAGTGCTTATTATCATTAAAAGTGTTCTAAAAATCATAAAGCATGGTTAGACATGGAGGCCAGTGTTCAAATTTTACGAGTCTAGGCGAAATTTCGGGCAAAAAAAAGTTTTCTTATTTTAAATTTCTAATCATTCTAAAAAAAATCATTTAATAATTAAAATATGTTATATCAAACATCTAAAAAGTATTATATTTACTTAATAATTCCTACAATTAGTTAGTAATATATTTTTCAAAGGAAAAACTGGAAACTAAAATACTTTTGAAAAAAAAGGAAAAAATTTACAAAAATGAATAAAGCGCGTCTAGGTGTTTTGCCAGCCCTAGACACAATTTTTAGAACACTGATCATTAATATGTCAAATTATTTGGAGTTTAGACCTCACATGCTTCAAGTCAAGTTTTTTGAACCCAATGTTCCCCAAGCCCCTTCATACATTACCCCACTTTACGTTTTGAACTTACATTAAGGACAATGTAACATTCATGACTTTGTAAGTCAATTGTGAGCTTGTTTATTATATAGAAAATTGAAAAAAAATAAAAATGAAACTTTTCGAAAGAAATTGGAAATTTTGAAAAAAATACACAATGATATGCTTGTAACTAGTTGGATAACATCACCGGCTAACGATGCATTTATGCTTTAAATTTATATGATTTATGATATACGATCTAATGGTTCTACTCGAGCTTTTTTTTTTATCATGCTTATCTAGCCACTTTTAGTTATTATTATTTAGGTTTGAAAATATTGTATAATACGATGGATCTTTGAGTTGGTATAAATACTCTGAAATTAGTATGATGAGATACATCGATCACTCGG